TGCAATTGTAAAATCAAACCGGAGATATCAAAGTTGTGAATTCTTCTTTGCGTGCTAACTTAAAATTATTTTGGAAGCACACTATGACTACTGGTATATCACAAGCAGAATAATATCAATGTTATTTAAAATGGATGTCTTTGATACTTCTGTCAAGTTTAGCGTTCAAAACAGTTAGAATGCTTGTAATAACCATTTATAGTTTACCGAATACCAATCGCAACAAGTTACTTTAGTAAGGTATTTAGCATTGCACCTCGAACTGGTGGGGTAAGAGATGTATGTATCCATCCTTTAAGCGCCAAGACAAAAGCCAGATTATCTAGGCCTAACTGCTAACTATAAAATTAATAAAAAGATGACAGTCAACCAGAATCTGAATTAAAAGTGTCAGTGGCCAAAAACTTTAATGCTATTTCAGAAAATGTTTCTGATTGGTTCCCTCATTCATAATCCCAGAAGATTAAGTTCTCCATAATATATAAACAAAAAGACCTACAACTAGGGTTTCTCATTTTCTAAGGGTTTTCCTTATCCCGGGAAAACGAGAATATATTTTTTTCTCATCCTGGGATTATACAAAATTTAATTAAAAATATATTAAAAACTAAATTAAACTATAAAACAGTTGATTTATATGGTTGTTCAATTGCTATTAATGAATACAAAAAACACTGTTAGTAGAGAATTTGTTCACTTGCTACTACTTATTAGTTTCTCCATTTTCCACTGCTTATCCCCAGTACCAGTAATGGACAACTAGCTAATAATAGTAACAACTTGTAAAAAAGGTTTCATTTTAAATTCAATTAAAAAACAATTTGTAATATTAATGCATGAAAGTATATGTGTATGTGTCTTACTATGTTTGTCTATGTTGATTTTGGAAAGATAAAAGTACACTAGATAATATAAAGATAGTTTGGCATGTAAACATCTTGGGATAATCAAGTTATCAGACCTGTTTACTCTTACGATTTTGGCGTACAATGTACGATTTTGGCGTACAATGTACGATTTTGAGGTGTATACATTATATATACTGTATGTTTACTTTTTACTATAAATATAAGGTATTGAACGATTTTGTGATTACATTGTACGATTTTAAGAGTTTGAGGGTAAACAGGTCTGAGTTATTAGGGCAGCAGTTCCTAAACTTTTTTTCTCCAGTACCCCTTGATAAGAAAAATAAATAAAATAAAAAAAAATAAAAAAATTTTAGAATCAAAAAATTTTAAATGAAAAAAAAAAAAAAAAAAAAAAAAAACAACAACAACTTTAAAACAAAACCTGACGTCACGAATTTATGACCCCCCCCCTGCCCCTGTCACAATTATTGACCCCCCACCCCCCCTCAGCGTGACGTAATTTGCGAACTACAACTTAGCTTAGCAAATATTAAATAATATAAATATAGGCATATAGGTAATCTACCACTTGAGCGTCGACCAAGAAAAAAGCCAGCTGTTCCGGTTGGAAGGGCTATTCAAACAACTATTCTTATATTATTTTTAATGACATTGGTTGTACGTATTCATTCCCATAATAATAGACAATTTTTTTAAAATAGAAAAAACTATAACATTTTTTTTGAAATAGAATGTGTGAAAATGGAATTATGCCCCAAGTTGACAATGAAGTTTTAAAAAATTTAATTTACACGAAAACGGTTGTGGTACATGAATCGACGTAAATATGAAGGAAAAAGATCACCGGCACTTCTTGTGCCAAACTGTCTTTTCAGTTTATGCTTTCTGAGCCTTCACTTTCACGTTTTCCACATTCTGTGTGTGGACATTCGCGTCATCTGGATAAAAAAAAATTATTATTTTCTCTTTTTCTTCCTGGCATCGGTTGCTTGGCAGTAATAAGTATTTAAATGTATTAGTATTGTGCTATATAACTATAACTTTATAGCCTCTATACGGAAGCAAAAATATTAACAGACTCCAATGTAAGAATAGTTGTTTATATAGCCTTTCCAACCGGAAAAACTATATTAACAGCATACCTATATTAACTTTTAATTTAAATATAATTAATAATGAAAAAAATAACTGTCTAATAACTAATAATAATAATTAGTATTAGCACTCAGTAACTCAGACAGCGGCGAGTGTCTCAAACTCAAAGTTTGTCAGTTAAAATTGTGGAGATTTAAAATATTTTTCAAAAAGATGTTATTAATATTTAAAATTGTACTTTATTGAGTTGACGACCCGGGCTAGTATATACCTTTGTTGTTTGCCTATTTGTTTTGTTATTGTTGTTTTGTGTGTATAATATCCTTAAATTAAATAGCAAATTAAAATTGATTAAATCTTGTTTTTACAGGAGGCTGACATCTTGTTTCTTAAAAATGGTAGCGGTCACAATTTAAAAAACAAACAAACAAAAAACTACCGGTTGATTGGGGTTATATTTGTTGTTTTTTTAATCATGTTATGCATATTAATCCCCTAAAAATACATGTTCTAATATATTTTACAAACAAACAAATTTAATAGAATAAATTAAATATTAAACATTTTCTTTTTTAGGTCGTATGATTCATGTAAGTGGCTTTATTCACTTTTACATATACATAGTACATAGGGGATGAGTGATTTTTATTTTTTTTTAGGAGGGAGGGGGAAGAAAGCCCAATAATTAGAAGTACCGTAGAAAGGGAAAACCAAACAAAAAATGTAGACTTTAAATTTAAACAAAAAAAATTAAAAATCCTATAATAAACAATTAACTATTTTAGTGCCCATTAAATTTGGAAATATTTTCTATTTTATTGCCCTTAGGTCAGGCTTTGTAAGGGGGGATTCTAATTGGTTATTTTCCTGAAAAAGTTGCCTTTCCCACACACAAAAAAAGTGTAAAAATCAACCTATTTGCCGGAGTTCAGACGTCACACGTGAAGCTCGCTGTGTAACGCTTTTTTTTTTTTTTTTTTTTCCACTCCATACTATCAATATGAGAGATTTTTTGAACAATGTCCATGCATTTTAGAATACCAGCCTTCTCACGTCTTCTATATATTAAGTATTAAGAGCATAGGGTCAATGTTTTGATAATTATTTTTTTTTTTTTTTTTTTTTTTTTTTTTTTTTTTTTTCCACTCCATACTATCAATATGAGAGATTTTTTGAACAATGTCCATGCATTTTAGAATACCAGCCATCTCACGTCTTCTATATATTAAGTATTAAGAGCATAGGGTCAATGTATTGATAATTCTGTCTCCTGTGTATGTTAGCAATGTTTATCTACCTGGTATTGAAGGTATTTTATTGGTTGCAAACGCAACTCAGCGAGGGTATCATGAACTGGGGTTGGAAGGGCTGAGGCGATAGACGCAAATGTGACGGGTGTTGTCGACTCAACTGTTCCCTTCAGAACCTTGTTCCAGTCCCTGATTGTCTTTGGCAGGAATGAGCAGCTCCTGTATTGTGTCCTTGCTGTTATAAGCCGGAACTGCCCAACATTGCCTCGTCGCTGTCTAGAGGGGAGAGGAACGAGTTTCTGTTTAATGATGGAGCAGTAGACCAGCCCATTATTTATCTTGTACATCACGGAGAGCCTGGATGACCGTCGTTCCTCCATTGGTGACCAGTCCAGTGTTTCCAGCGTGCTGCCAACTCCAGAGGTGTTCCTGTGACGGTTCAGGACAAAACTTGCTGCCCGTCGCTGGACCCCCTTAACCTGTCGATGTTCTTCTGTGAGAATGGGTCCCAGACTGGAGATGCGTAATCTAATAGCTTTTATAGGCTCTTTCTTTCACACTGGAGTTGCCGATCTTCAGATTTCTCCTTAAGAACCCCAGGGTCGTGTTTGCCTGGTTGCACACATTGTTAATATGCTCGTTCCAGCGGACCTCTCTTTGAATGGTAACACAGATGTACTTTACCGAGGAAACTGGCCCAACAGGGCCATGTGTAGAGGGGGGGTAATTAAAGGTGGCACTCTCCCCGGATGCTAACAACACCTACAGAAATAGCCGATCATGGCCATTATAAATTGATTTTAATAAAGTGATTTTCCTGTGTACCTCAAGCATTAGCCGGTGCTCAGTTAAAATGAATGAATTATCAGTTATCCAATCGAAGTTGTAAATTAAAATTATTACTGCATAGAATTGCACCCACAGAGCGCACTATAAAAGTAAAATTTAGTGGAAGTGTCCAACGGCGCCCGCAGGTAGGGGCACTTGCCCCCCCCCCCTAGATTGATTGAATAAAAGTTTTTTAGACAAAAATAGTCAAAAAATGTATTAAAGTAAAGAGAAAATAAAGAGAAAGTAACTAAGCTGATGCCCTGTCCGTTCGTTCACCATACAAATACGCTACAGTAAATTAAAACTATATTAAAACATTACTAAAAAATTTTTGCCCCCCCCCTGGAAAGTTAATCGATTTTTTTGCCCCCCCCCCTAGAAAGTTTTCTGCGGGCGCCCATGGAAGTGTCAGGCTAGACTTACTTTAACTTTATGAACTTTATGGCAATCAAGGCTAGGATGTGTGTGGGGGGGGGGGTGCTCTAGTCTCTAGTTAGTAAACTTTGTAAATAAATACATAATTTATTATCTTAAAATTTTACTATTAATCGATTTTTTTGCCCCCCCCCCTAGAAAGTTTTCTGCGGGCGCCCATGGAAGTTTAAGGCTAGACTTACTTTAAATTTATGAACTTTATGGCAATCAAGGCTAGGATGTGTGTGGGGGGGGGGGTGCTCTAGTCTCTAGTTAGTAAACTTTGTAAATAAATACATAATTTATTATCGTAAAATTTTACTGTTTAAAAATGTGCAGTGATACATCAGGATATCAAAAAGCTATATAATGTTAAGTGATTTAAAAGCAAAATAATGTTTTGATCATCAAAAGTATCCTGCTCGGTTTTATCTGAATCCTGCGGTAAAAAGGATGACCTTAATTTGCTGTGTTAGAGTTGACCTACATATTTCGGAGTCTTGTGGTGTGTAAATGGTGGTAGTCGTAACCAATGGAATGTATTTACACATCATCTAAATCCCTACACTGTGTACGGACTTGGTAAAGCTGAATATAACCTTAACGCACAACCAACGTATTGAGAGGTTTTAATTTTTAATAATAAATATACATTAATAATAGATAACAATATAAGTGATGAGTTCCCGAAGGCGAATCATTCGCCATTCGCTGATTTTCCGAATGGTCTGCATACACATACAGTACTCAGTACAATCTAACAGTACTTACACAGCGAAATCTTTGAATAAAATAAAGTATGAAATCCAAGTCCAAGCATTCTATCATAGAATTTAGAATTCAGTCAAATTATGAAATGCATTAGTAGACATTATAATATACATTGCCAAGGAGGTCTGCTAGTAGTCTGTGGGAAGTCAAGTCACACTCTAGTGACAGTGATGATAGTGTACAAAAAATTACAACCAATGAAACAATGAATGCTTAGGCCTAGGTTTGACTTGGTATCTAGGCCTAGTGGTAAATTTTAAGGACGAATGCCACCATTTTATCGAATTTCACGAAAGTATGCCTAAATCGATCCCTATGCCTAACCTGAACCCTAAATCAAAATCAATCCCTATGCCAAACCTGAACCCTAAATCGATCCCTCAACCTAACCTAAACCAAACCCTAATTCACTGCAACGATTATAAACACACAAAAGACGGACGCCGTGGCATCCGTCCTTAATTTCAGCCGGCCTAGGCAATCCTGCTAACCCTGGTCCCAAGTCCAAATGCCAAATAGTGTACTTTGGTATACCGAAGTATAAGTATACGTTTTGTCTTAGAAATTAAGAAAGTGTCAGGTGGCCGCAATAATTGTTTCTTAGTTTAAAGTAGTATTTGTTTACATTCAATGATTCTGAATGAATGTAGTTGTCATGCAGACTAATTTCTTCTAATAATATAAACAATACCAGCAAGCACCAGTTCATATAACAAAGTTCTTGCCAGGAAACATTCTGCAAATTTATGACACAGCGCAGTAGGCACTGTATGATAGCATTCTTTAGTTAGAGTGGCTTGCTGAACACAGTCTCATAAATGTCAACATCCTATGTCTTTAGTCCGATGTGCCAAGTCACCTGATGGTTACCAATGGAAATGCTGTGTGTGCAATATGACATGCAGTATTAAGTATACACAATTGATCAAACTGCGGGCTTAGCATACAGAAAATCATCATGATGATATCTAATTATGGGTTTATGCAGTGAAATGCATGCATGTTAGGTTTTTGAAAGCATAGAAAGTTGGGACACCATTGTAAACTACAACAACTTTTATCAAATTGAGTGTCGGAATTGGTTTCAAATTCAGCAAGGTGGAACACGCCATAGCCAGTTCCCAAGTTACTTGTGTGCTTTCCAGTAGTATTTTAGCAACAAAAAACATGTTTTTTGACAGTACCAGTACTTGAAGTTGTTGACTGACAATTATCACAATGACCATGAACATGGTAAAACATTATGGAAATGCCAAATTAACTCCTCATTTGATGCTTTTTACTAGTATTTTGAATTGGGGACCTGTGTTGGGAGGAGTGCCGGCAAGTATTGCATAGAAAGTTGTATAGAAAATAGAATGTAAATCACAATTTTAGCTACAGTATAGCATCATAGGATGCCTGCCTAGACTTATTATTAGGCATTTTGACATACATTTTAAATATTGTCTGAAGGAATGTACATAATTTTAAAAGGTTCTTCTTCTTCTTCTATATCTTAAGGGCCCACAATCAATTTATTGATCATTTTGGCTCCTATGCATGTAGATGGGATTTGCAATGTTTCTGTTACTGGTGTTGATGAGGAAATCATGCACTAGGGGTTTGAAGGCTTGAGGCAATAGACACAAATGTGTCTAGACACAAATGTGTCTAGTGTTGTCGCCTCAACTGTTCCTTTTGAAAGATTGTTCCAGTCCCTGATTGTCTTGGGCAGGGATGAGCAGCTCCTATACTGGCTTCTTGCTGGTATGAGCCTGAATTGCCTGTCATGGCCTCGTCGCTGTCTATGGGGGAGAGGGACGAGTTTCTGTTTAATACTGGAACAGTGGACCAGCCCATTATTTATCTTGTAACGTTTCTCCAATGGTGACCAGCCTAGTGTTTCTAGCATGCTGCCAACACTAGAGGTATTCCTGTAGCGGTTTAGGACAAAGCGTGCTGCTCGTCGCTGGACCGCCTCCAACCTGTCAATGCTCTTCTGGGTAAATCGGTCCCAGACTGAAGATGCATAATCTAAAATCGGACGGATAAAGGCTTTATATGCTCTTTCTTTCACACAGGAGTTTCCAATCTTTAGATTTCACCTTAAGAACCCTAGGGGTCTTGTTTGCTTGGTTACATACATTGTTAATATGCTCGTCCCAGCAGACCTCTCTTTGAATGGTAACACCCAGGTACTTAAACGGAGGAAACTTGCTCAACTAACTATAAGCTTTATAAAAACACCAATTTCATCTTTCTAGCTTTTAGAGATTTTGTTTGTTGAATATTTTTTTTAAACCCCTTATTTGTTTGTGTATAATACCATATACAACTGTGTAAACTTGCAACCAACCTTCCACCTTATTTTTACACACAAAGCTACCAAATTTTTAGGAGATATTCTCAATGCATTATACAACGCAATGAACAACCAAACTTTTGCATAACATCACAACTTTTTAGTTTTGATAATTTTATTTAAGGGTACTGGTAGTATAAAAAAAATCCTGAAAAGGAAAATAAGAAGAAAAAAAATTACTTACAGAGACAAAAAAAAAGGAAAATCACAAGTTAAAGTTTATTAAAAATTACTAAATAACAGATTGGACTCTTTATAAACAAAAAAATGAACAGCAGGGGCCATAAACATTTGAAGAATCCTATACAATGCATGGCCGAGGGCCTAGGCGATGTATATAATGTAGGTATTTCAAACTTTGACTGAAATTGGTAGGCATTATTGAGGAGCCCAGATTTTACACTTTGCTTGGAACACTATACTAATGACCGAATGTAGTAAGTTAAGTAAAGCCTATTATTATTTTTCATTGCTAAAATAGGCAAGACTCTGTTATACTAAACCAGTTATGTTTTATACTTAAAGTTAAAGGTTATTCACTTGTTAATGATAATGTGTGAGATTAGGCCAAATGTAACTGGAAGAAAGGGCAGTAAGTGGTAAGCCTAAGACTAAGAATAGTCAGGGCTAGTGGAGAAAAAGAATATTTTAATGGGGAAAAAAGGGGGAAGATTTGTTGCACTAAAAGCAATTACAATAAAGTTGCAACTTAAACTAAGTTAGTTTATTAGTCAAGTTGAAACCATATTAATATTTTGTATCAATCTCAATAACAATTGAAAATAGCCCCAGGGCATTTATTAAATTTATGATGGCATATCACATATAATTAAGGCCACAGATCATAATAAGCAAACTTTTATTTTCTTTTGCAGGTGAATTTGTATTACTCCAGGAAAGATTACACTATTCACATTTTAATTTAATTCTAATTATTTAAACCTTTTCAACTATGAGCAAAAATCAAACGATAGCCTCCCCTGGAGCACCAGGTATTCGCGGCGATGTCTCTTTTATTAGAGCAACCCCGGGGCCAACAGTACCCAGTTTACCACCATCAAATCAGAGTGCAGAGAAATATACATCTCACCACACAGGACAGATACCTCCATCAGCCTCAAGACTGTCTCAAGATATTCCAATTCAGCCCCATCTTTTTCATCAGCACCATCTACACCAAAGGCAACCTCATCATCAACAACCTCATCTGCAGCAATATCTTCCGGAGCATATGGAATCCCAACAGTACGCGTTGAAGCAACCGCATGGGGCCGGTGGTGCCAGCGGGGACTCAGTGGGGCGTGTTTCATCCCACACTGGAGTGGAGGGTTGGAGTGATAGAGAAGAAGCGCTGGCTACTGAGTTGGAGGAGGCTAAAATAAGAGTAGCACAGATGGAGAAAACCATGCGCTGGTGGTCTGACTGCACATCTAACTGGCGCGAAAAGTGGAACAAAGCCAGGAATGAGAGAAATAAAGCAAGGGAGGAAAATAGACTGCTCAGGGCTAAGCTCGAGGCTCTTGCTAAAGAATTGTCAAAAGTGAAAAGAGAAAAGAAGGATATGTTTGGAGAGAAGGATAGATCCCAAGAAGAGTTCCACTCTTCTTATAACTCATCTGGCTTGAACCACTCTCAAGAGAAACTTGTTGAGCTTTCTGAAAAAGAAAAAACTGTCCTGGCACTATCTAATGAAAAAGAGTTTGAAAGCCTGGATGATTTGAGTGAGACATCCTCATCCGTGTCGAAGCCTTCAAAAGACCTTCACGAGGATAAGGAAGTCGATGTTTCAGAGACCTCGACAACTCACGAGGGGTCTGTGCCAGGGGACAGTACTTTTGTGGTAACCGAAATGTCCGAGAGACTGACACAGTTACAAGAGAGGCAAGCTCAGCTTGAGCAGCAGCTGTCGCAGGTAAGTGAATAGCTGTTTTTTTTTTATAGCTTATCACAGTCATACAAACCCAACAATAATATTAATTTAACTTTTTAACTTTCCAAAAATGTTGATGCCAATCTTTGTGTCACTTAAATAATGTGCAATGACCAACACTCCCTTCAATGACCAACACTCCCTTTAATGACCAACACTCCCTTACTGAACTTTATTATCTCTAAAAAATTTACCGAAATTCAGCATTAAAAAATTTCATACTTTCAAATGATTAGCCCTTTTTCTTCTCTTTATCATACAATACATTCTGACGTCTGTTGCCAAAAGGTGCTTGTATCTCAACTTGTTACATACATATATAAGTATTTCTCTGGTGCAATCATCTTTGCATTTATTTTGTTTTAAAATTAGACTCAGTTAAAAGCTGCCCAAGGTCATGAGAATGCACTGGAGATGCAACGGAGATTAGATGCAGCAAATAATACCATCCAGTCAGAAAGACTGTAAGTTCAAACAAAAATGGCGGTATTTATGGAGACAATTTTGGAGATCTTTTTTTAGTACAAGTAAATATATATATTCTACTTTATGGTTATTCAACATGGCAAGTGGTTATTCTATATTATTGTTAATCAACTTGGCTAGTAGTTATTCTATTTTTGAAGTGGCTATTTGCACTCGGGTACCAGAAGTGATAGGTTGGGATAAAAAAACTATTTAAAATATTATTGTTGGGTTTGTAAGACAAAATTAGGTATCAAATGAAAGATAATTGAATGGACTATCTGTTTGTAAACTTACTTCTTCAGTTGAACTATAATAAACTACCACAAATGACATCCGAATAGCATTTAGTCTAATGGGACTGGGGTGCGAATGGCGGCGATGCGTGTCCCGGTCCATTTTGACTAAACGCTATTCGGATGTTATTTGAGGGAGTTTATTTTAGTTAAACTGAAGAATTAAGTTTACAGATAGTCCATTCAATTATCTTTCATTTGTTACCTAATTTTGTCTTACAAACCCAAAAATAATATTTTAAATAGTTTTTTAATCCCAACCTCTCACTTCTGGTACCCGGGTGGAAATAGTCGCAGCCTTCTATTTTATACCTATCCTGAACAGTTTTCAGGAGCAGGTGAAGAAATTTTAATGAAATGAATATATCAATCTAAGTTACTTTTTTATATTCATTAAATTGTATTCCTAACATTAGCTTGTATTAACTTGAAAAATTACACTAACATTATAAAAAAAACCTCATGAATTCGTCAGTGATTTTTAAAATCAAATATATTATTTAACAATGCTTAACTGTACTTAAATTCAGCTAAATTTAGTTTTATTTTAATGATCCTTTTATACAGGGAAAAGTGCAACCACATGAAAACAATAGAGAAACTACAGTGGGAGCTAAGGGAAGCTCAGAGTAAACTCAGCGAAGAGACACAAGTCAAACAAGATCTCAAGATGCAGGTAATTATTATATCAAGGGAAGCACATTAACTTGACAAGGCTAGTGGAATTATTAGCTGTCTAAATTCAACATTTGAAAGGATAACCAAATGAACTATATATATTTTGATAACAACTGATCAAATTGCTTGACTGTCCTCAAGAGCCTCTGAGATAAAAAAAGACAATTTGTTTTTTGTTGCTATAACTACCAACAGTTGTTAAAGTTATATTTTTATATATATCCAGGGGTGCCACTTTTCTGGATAATCCCAGAATTCAGAATTCTAAGGCTAAATATTTTTCAGCTCCGGATTTGTGAGTTTTCATTTTCTCTTGCTCTGGATTCATGAGTTCGCCAGTTCAGTTTATTCAAATATGGATTCTAGGTTTTAAAAACAAATCAGTGTGTAAGAACGCGCTGATGCCTATTCAGCCCGAGGGGGGGGTTTGAAAAATTTGTAAATGGAGTTTCAGGTTTCAAGAAATTTTTTGAAAGCGATTTCAGGCTTCACAGCTTTTGGTGAGTGGCACCCCTGTATATCTGTTTGACTATGATGAAATGACCTGGTCAGTATAAAAATGACTGAAGAATTGAGGGTAGCCATCTCTCAGCAACTGACATTAACTTACTAAGGCATGCAGTCAGTGAAAAATTGTGTTCTAAGCTTTCATGCAGTGGCTGAATTAATGCTGTTCCATTTGTTGTTATTTTATATATATCATGCTTCATAATTTGCTTATAAAATATCTGCTGTTGATAATATCCCAATTGGATGTGTTTGTGGAATGGTAACAGTAATTTGATGTTTTAGTCAAGTTGATAGAGTGATCTTTCAACAAAAAATTGTTAAGTATGATCAGTAAATACATTAGACTGGAATGTACATGTGACTGGTATGTCATGTGACTGGTACGGTATGCATAGCTTTAAAAAATGTTTAAAAAACTAAAATCGTGCCAAGTGTTATAATCATAAGTCTTGTTACTTGTCAGTGTAATGTCATAAGTCTTGTTACTTGTCAGTGTAATGTCATAAGTCTTGTTACTTCTCAGTGTTATGTCATAAGACTTGTTACTTGTCAGTGTTAAGTCATAAGTCTTGTTACTTGTCAGTGTTATGTCATAAGTCTTGTTACTTGTCAGTGTTATTTCATAAGACTTGTCACTTGTCAGTGTTATGTCATAAGCCTTGATACTTGTCAGTATTATGTCATTAAGTCTTGATACTTGTCAGAAGTTTAATCTTTTAATCTACTAATCCACTGCCTGTTGTGTGCACCAGAAAAGCACAGACTCAGAGATCTCATTAGATGTGGTAAGACTTTTTGTTGTTGTTGGTGTTGTAACCTTCTCCTTCTCTTCTTCTATATCTTAAGGGCCCACGATCAATGTATTGATCATTTTGGCTCCTATGCATGTGGATGGGATTTGCCATGTTTCTGTTACTCTTGCCTTTGTTTCCTTAATCAACCGAAATACATCAAGAACAGAGGTGACAAAATACAAAGCTTGAACCTAAGGATGAAATGGAACAAGTTAGCAACTGTACAAGTTAACAGTGGCTGAATATCTCTCAGAATCATGGCATGCTTCTAACTTCCAACCTCTGCTAGCTTCAACTTGATGGTTGTCATCTTTTATTTATTTATTTTTTGCATTTGATGTCATTTAACATTTTTCACTACTCTAAAATCTAACTCATCATTTGTTATTTCATACAGCAGACCTCTTTACCCTCAAACTATTAAAATTGTACAATATCATCACATACTCGTTCAAAACCTTATATTTATAGTAAAAAATTAACATACAGTATATATACTGTATACACCTCAAAAATCGTACATAGTACGCCAAAATCGTAAGAGTAAACAGGTCTGCTACAGTAACATAGAGTCAATAGTTGTGTTGTTTTTGAAAAGTGATCACTGCTCTGGTTATGTTGGTTTGAAAAAGTCTTTCTGTCAGCGACCAATGAAGCAAACTTGGAAAGAGTAGCTACTTCTTTTTGTACCAGTACTCTTTACTCATGAAATTGTGCCGTAGTTCCTCTTTTTATAGTACCAGTACTCTTTACTCATGAAATTGTGCCGTAGTTCCTCTTTTTATAGTACCGGTGCACTTTACTCATGAAATTGTGCCATAGTTCCTTCTTTTTATAGTACCGGTGCACTTTACTCATGAAATTGTGATGTAGTTCCTTCTTTTTATAGTACCGGTGCACTTTACTCATGAAATTGTGCCATAGTTCCTTCTTTTTATAGTACCGGTACACTTTACTCATGAAATTGTGCCATAGTTCCTTCTTTTTATAGTACCGGTACACTTTACTCATGAAATTGTGCCATAGTTCCTTCTTTTTATAGTACCGGTACACTTTACTCATGAAATTGTGCCATAGTTCCTTCTTTTTATAGTACCGGTACACTTTACTCATGAAATTGTGCCATAGTTCCTTCTTTTTATAGTACCGGTACACTTTACTCATGAAATTGTGCCATAGTTCCTTCTTTTTATAGTACCGGTACACTTTACTCATGAAATTGTGCCATAGTTCCTTCTTTTTATAGTACCGGTACACTTTACTCATGAAATTGTGCCATAGTTCCTTCTTTTTATAGTACCGGTACACTTTACTCATGAAATTGTGCCATAGTTCCTTCTTTTTATAGTACCGGTACACTTTACTCATGAAATTGTGCCATAGTTCCTTCTTTTTATAGTACCGGTACACTTTACTCATGAAATTGTGCCATAGTTCCTTCTTTTTATAGTACCGGTACACTTTACTCATGAAATTGTGCCATAGTTCCTTCTTTTTATAGTACCGGTACACTTTACTCATGAAATTGTGCCATAGTTCCTTCTTTTTATAGTACCGGTACACTTTACTCATGAAATTGTGCCATAGTTCCTTCTTTTTATAGTACCGGTACACTTTACTCATGAAATTGTGCCATAGTTCCTTCTTTTTATAGTACCGGTACACTTTACTCATGAAATTGTGCCATAGTTCCTTCTTTTTATAGTA